TTTGCTTTTAGATAGTTGTAAGCATTAAACTTTAAAGTAGGACCTAATACTTGTGAAAGAGAAAACAGAGTTCTGACTGTTAATAAGCTTGTTTATTTCAAATCTTCTTCTCTGATACAGTGCAGGTCATGAGTTGGATCCATTTATGTTATTCTGGATCATAGAGGTTTTACATTCAGCGTACAAAGCTGGCCATGTTCAGATTTCTGACCACATTAACTTTTTCATCACTTTGGTTTCACGTTTCAAAGGTTTTTCCTCGTAAATTCAGAATTATTTCTCCCTTGGCAAGCAATTTTGGATCAATGGTTTATGTAGTTTGTATTTGACAAGGAGTTTTATGTCTGCAGAAAATATTTTTCCTGCAATAGAGAACAAGACTTCAAATCTTGGAACTTTTAAATCACTGACCAATGTTGTTTGCTCATGACTGTCACAGATGGGTGACAATTCTATCGTTTTTGCAATGCCAGAGAAAGTAATACTAGAGCAGATAGTAAGTTGATTGACTTTTATGCAATTTTGTTATTTACATAGATGGTTCTTCTTTTTTTTTTGGGTTTCTGAGGTCTCTTGTGGACAAAATCTTTTTTATTTCAAAAGGAACACAACAAAAAGGTAGAATGCTGTTTACAATAACTTTTTTGCTTGACTCACGATGGGTTTTTCATTTTTTCAGTCATTAAAACCACCTCTGGACAATTGTTGTGCTATGCTCGGGATGCTTATTGCGCTGGACACTAAGCCAACAAGACTTTCCGAACGAAGTATTTGCTCTTTAACTAATGTCCTTTCAGCATATCTCATTGATGTTGCACATGTAAGTATTTCTACTCTTCAACAACTGTCCTGATTTTCCTTCTTCTTTACTAAGACCTTCCTCGTTTCTTGTTTTATTTGTATCAATGTCTGTTTTTCTTTTGTAGTGTTGCTGGCATCATTATTTTTTCTGTCTTTTTTGAGAGAGAAAAAAAGAGCTGAGTTGTCATTAGGATATTTGATGTTGACTTATCAATAAATAAGTCTTGCAAGACGATATTAATTTGGTTTCGTTTATATGGTGCAGCAGTATGTATCTTGAGTCTTGACCTTAGCAACCTAGATCTTTGTGAAGTCAATGATATTGGATCTTGTTTCCTGTACACTTTTTTGGTGGGAACTGGGATGCTTTTGAAACTGTGTTGGTTTCTTAATGGCATAGATCTTTGTTCATTTCTCATGGACATGTATACAATGGCCTTAAATTTTTCAATGAGGATGGAGTATTTATTGGCCAGGAATCTCTTCATTTAATTTCCAGGTTTCATGGAACAAGATGCATTTTAGCAGTTGTTTGCATGCTCACAGTGAAGTTTTATCTATCTTTAGACTTCCCTTTTCCTTATGTTGTGGGCTGGGGATTTAATCTTTCTTATTTTGCACTAATTTTTGTGAATTTGCTCATAAACCTCAAGCAATCCTCTCAATGATTTTTTAGCAATTGAAATGATATATATTTCACTTTTCTACAGTGTGTTCCAGAAGATGTTGATGAAAGCACGGGCTCCTTTCATGAACAGACATGGTGTTATTATCTTCTGCCTGGCTCTTGCCTGTTTGATAGAAGTTGCAAACTTCTCAATCTCGTGTTGAACGTGATGGGGTCACTGATTAATGGAAATAGCTCATCACTTCTGCCTGGTTATCATATCCGTTATGTCAATGGGAACTCGAGTAGGATAAATGCCATTGTTTCTGTCCTACTATGGATGCAAAGGGATGCAAAGGTTCAGCAAATTCTATTCATATTAGGAAGAGATTGACCATATTTCACGAAGCATATGCTCGTTACAGGTATAATTTTGCTTCTCAGGTGTCTCATGTCCATATCCATGTTCTATGTTTCTCTGTTTTTGTATTACAAAAGATCGATCAACAAAGGAAGGAAAAGAGCGCATCATTTGAAGGGTAGAGAGGAGAGATTGAAGGTCCAGCTGGCCTTTATTAAAACAAATACTCCTTATGCATATTGGTCTTGCTAGGTATCATGTATAGCTATGTAAATAATGGGGCATCTCTAACAGTAGAAAATATTTTTGGAAAGCTTTGGAGTGAAAGCTCCTCATATCTGCATAGCTGGATTCTTTAAAGCATGATGTTTATGATTATGGATATACTTGGACACATAACTGAAAGGTCTTGGAAAACTTGTCCGAGTGGTAGAAAAATTTTCTTTTTTTTCCTCGACTCTGGGGGGTCATTGGACACCCTGTCTCATACATTGGAAATTACGCTTTGAGATTTTTTTTTATTGGTTTTTAATGTATTTCATCTCATGCTTTTTTGTTATTTTTGCAGTCTTCAGAGGAAATGAACGTGCCAATAGAAGAAAGGCACATACAGAGGCATGCAATTGATCGACTAAGGACTCAAACAAGTTCATTACGTCGGTAGAAGGGTATGGTTATTGCGGTAGTGACTCCCTCTTCTGTAACTTGAAGCCGCATTCCGGTGCATTTATCGAGTTTCTGATCACTGACATTCAGAAAATTCTTTAAGAAATATAAAACAAGAAAAAAGAACAAAGAAATCTATCAAAGCAGCGACAACTTATTTTGAAAAAATATCCACGTCATTTTTCTCTCTCTCTCAGAATGCCGACCTCTTTGTCATTTTCTTGCAGGCTACTCAATTTCCCAGTAAATAGAGGGAAGCTGGAGGTATTGCATAATAAGGTGGCCGATAATTGCTAGGAAAGGCGAACAGCTTTGATGGTGAACCTGGAATTGCCTTGGTGGATGGGAATGTGGAACAGAATCTGGCTGTGCTAGCAACTCAGTGAAGGCAGCATCTATAGTCCAAGTTTTCTATGGCATGAATGCACAGGTTCGAAACCCTAAATGGCATGTATTGCCTACAATTTTGAATTACGTGCCGGATAATCAGAATATTGCAATGGAAAAAAATGTAGTTTCATTGGCAGCTAGGTAAACATTTGCACAGGAGATCTCTCTGATTTTGGTTTTCGTTACTTTCTGGTTCTTTTTTACTCATTAGTTAAAAATAGTTTAATTTATTATTTAATTTAACTTTTTGGATCTATTGCTGCTCCACACTCTCCTCTAAAATCAACTTCTTCGTTGATTTTAGAAGCTATGGGATGAAGTGAACTCTCATGTTTTCCGGATTCAACTCGTAAATTCTTTATCCTCATCTGCAAATTTTAAGTTTTGAAGACGTTTGGGTTGCTTAGATTCCGGGGAGTAGAGAAGAATGAGAATGATAGCTAGGGTTTTTTTTTTTATATAGCAAAGATGTAATATTTAATATAAAAACCCTTTAATTATTAACTAAAATATAATGATAATGTTATAAATAATCTGATTTTATTTTATTTTATTTTTACAGATTAAGAACGTATAGCGTTACAAATTTATAAATTCTAGGTTATAAGCAGGTCAATCTTTTCAAGAAAAAAAGAGGAGGGAAACTCATCACTCAAAATAAAATAACAGCTAATGCTACCAAAAAAGAACAAGAAAACTTAGACAGAAAAAGGAGAGAGAGGAACGCAAAGCCATCGATTAATGCGATCCAAAATAAGTTCCTTCTTCAGAACTCTTCCTTTCTCTTCTCCATCCGAGAATTGGCTACTTAGCAGAATCACGGGTATGAAACCATAATCAAAATTAATTAAAAAAAATGAGAATTGAATTAAAAAATTAAAAAAATTATAAATAATAAAATTAAAACATCTTAAATATATTTGAATCTTAAAAAACTTGGAACATATGAAAGCTGATATAGGTAATCTTAAGAAATTTATTATAAGATGATTTAAAAATATAAATTTTAAAAACTTGTTAAAGAAAAAGAAAAAGATAATAAAAAAATCTTAAGCGACCTGACACCCAATTTAAAAATAAAAAACGCTTTAAAAAAAGATAAAAATTAAATATATAACCTAAAACATTAAATTATAATAACCTTATAAATAAAAAAGTGAAATAAACACCTGCAATTTAAAAAAAAAAACGCTTTAAAAAAAGATAAAAATTGACTTGGTTAATCCTTCAAATTTATTATATAGATCATAGGACTAAAATAATCCCATTAAAGACAAACCCAAAACAACAAAAAAGCAAGACTTTTTACCAAACAAATATTGATAAATAAAATTAAAAAAAATCAATCAAAAAGGCAATGAAAAAAAAATTAAATAAATTAGAATTAAATTTGATATAAAAATCAAATGAAATTAAATATTTTGAAAACAATCAAATGAAATTAAATGTTTAAGGATGGAATTATAAAAAACAAATCCAATAAGAAAGTAATTAAAAAATAACATTTAAAAAATTAGATTCAAATTTCACATAAAAATTAAATGAAAATAAATATTCTAAGATGGAATTGAACTAAAACAAAAACAAATCAATCAAGAAAATGATTCAAAATAAAAAGTTAAAAGAATAAAAATTAAATTTAAAATAAATAAATAAATAAAATAAAATAACTAGGAATGAAATAAAAAAAGAAAGATTGAGTCAAAAGGAAAAATAAATTGAAGAGGTGATATAAAATTTTACATGACCAATACAATCTAAAAAAGAAAAAGAAAGCAATGAAAGAAGAAAAAAAAAAAGCAATTTGAAGTCAAATCAAATGATGTAGCAAAATTAAGGTTTCAACCACACGTTAACAATTTTTTTTATTTTTTTGTGCAAAAACTGAAAATGCTCTTAAAATTAAATAATATTAACAAATAAACCATGATGATATTACAATCAAGCCCCTGAAGCCAAGGCAAAAAATTTAGAATAATATGGGTAATATAGTAATTCAATTGTTTTATAAAATATAAAAATACAAAAAGGTCCATATGCTGAAGGTATTGAATTATTTTATTCATGGGTACGTTAGTAAATTTATTATGTATAACAAAATGCAATTACCAAAATAATTCCACAATCTTAAAACATTCATGCTATGGTGAAAACACTAACTTCCAAAGCAAAGGATAAAAGATAAAATGACCATGAGGCAAAATAATAATTACAATATTGTAAAGAATAAGACACAATAATATCGACAGGGGATTAGTGTTTTTGGATAATAGCCTTTCTGATGAAATCAATTCATCAAAATGAACTAGAAAAATTCTTTTGCATTGAGCATGGACCCAAACAAAAGGCCGCACCTATCCCCTTCTGTGAGTATAGAGAAGTTCATCTAGAAACGCAGTTGCTAGTTCTCAGAAAGAGTCGGGCAGTAAAACCACAGTGAGTGATTTTGCATCTGCAGAATGCAAAATGGGTAATAAACTCTTCCAAGATCTACAGTAAATATAATCATAAAACATATTATAGCAAACAATGAAGGTAGTTCGGAGCAGCATGGAGCTGACCAATGTTGGAACGCGTTTAAGCCCGAAATCAAAAGCCGAAACCATCCATTGAAATGGCTAAGTGAAAATCGGGGTCATTTCTATTTGAGGTTGGCTTATGTTAAGATAGAAATTAGCTAAGTACCATAATTTATTACGTCATGAGATTTGCTAATGAAAGTAAACAATTTAAAATTTCAGGTAATTTACACGGGAGTTGACTCCACGTACACTTCGGCCTCGGTTTCATTTTGTGCTGCACTATCTTCATCCGCATCTGCCCGAAGATATGGACCAAATACCTTCATAACTTGTTCATAGACTGGCTTCTTGAAATCCACAGCCTGCTCGATGAACAAACAAGTATCAAACATCTAAACATAGATTTCCGGTTATATATTTCCAAGTAATATTTTACTCACAAGCTCCAATACTCTTTCCGGCAACAACCATGCCCAGTCCTTAAATTCTGGAGTTTCACTTCCATCACCCAGAAGATTTATCTCATCCTCCTTCCCAGTGAACTTGAAAAGAAACCTGTTTTCAAAAGTTCTTTACGAGCATGAACAAATTGAAAAGGACATACTTTTGTGAAAAATCCAGCAACTGGTCTTAGAATCAGAAAGGGGCAGATCCTATACTTGCTACAATTATTTGAAGGAGATCGTGAAGAAAGCAGGTAGATTTTGAGATGAAGCGAGGAAAATTTGTAGAGAGAAAAAGACTCAATCATGATAAGTACACAAAGGCAGAAACAGAGACATGCCCCCCTTTTGCAACATTTATGTTACCGAAATAACAAAGGATGCTCAAAGAAACCATTGTTTTCAAAACCATTACATGGAATCACTCCTATTTATGAATTAACGGCAGCAAAAGGCAAGGCAGTGGTTATCATGAAAGCAAAACTAAAAGCAACCAAAAACTGTAGTCAGGAGTAACAAACACGCATCAGGGTCAATCAAATTAGCTTCCATGATATGATCCATCTGATTGTTTTTGTTTCTCTTTGTGAGAATGTATCCTTACCACTTCTGTGTTTGACCTTTGTAATTGGTACCCCATCTACGACTGAGTCTCTCCCTGGTTTGCGGTGGAAAATCATAAGTAAGCCAGTAGGGCGCCTACACATCCGATCCCATATCAAAATCATTTCAGTTCACTCAAACACGTAGCAAAAGACACATCTTTCCTTTTCAATTTGTTAGATGTTCATCTCATACACAACCCTAACACTTGAAACAAGGGGAAAATAAATAATATTAATAATAAAAACCCACCTCTGCAACAAATTCAGCTGAAGTAACACCGGTTTCTTCCCTCAATTCCCTCATGGCTGCAGTCAATAGGTCTTCACCCTCACCAGCACCACCCTGTAGCAATACACCAAAAAATCAGTCACAAAAGAGAAGCTGTTATCAGCTCCTCCTATCCACACCCCACCAATACACATACCCTAGATCTAAAGCCCAATAAAATCATTTCATTGAACAAATCTGATACGTCTAGCCCCCCATCAATCCCAGCATTTACTAAAATCAGCTCACGTAAATCCCCAACACTACCTGAGGCATCTGCCACGTGTCCGAGATGTTTATCCTCAAAGCAGTAAATATCTACACCCAAAGCCAACAATTAAATTTATTTCAAAACCAAAAGTAAATAAATAAAATAAACAATTTCAAGTTAATCAACCTTTTTAGAGGAATTAACAAGACAAATCCCCACATTTCTTCTATACCCATCCGGTGGCGTCTCCATTGACGGCGGCAACTCCCTTCTTCTGCTTCTCCTTCTACTCCTTGTTAAGGATAAGGCGGCGCACGAAGAGCCAGACAGTGGTACGCTCGCAAATTTGTTCAAATTTATAGGGCAATTTGGGGTTACAAATCGATAGATATAGTAACTCCTGACAATACTATCACACGACTCCATGACCCGTCGTTTAAGAGAATAAAATTACTTGGTCCCCAGGCATCTATCTACTGCCCGCTTTCTTTTTTGTAACATGTGGTCGTCTTGCCTACTTTGAATTTCAAGGGCTCGCAGTTGATAATCAGCGAGAGAATCGGAATTTCTCCACACCAGTTCTCTACTTTTCTCGTAAACCGCGAGAAGAGGGGATCGAGGATTCCCGTGGCTGCCAAAACTAATTTTTCGAAAATATATCGCGAGAAACACTGGTAATTTATCGTGGCGTTGAAAAGATCGAGACGCGAGAGGAGGATAAAGGGAAACGAGATGATGACTGGAAAAACCGTGAGGTTCACGTTCGATCCTCAACGAGGAAATTTGGTGCTTTTACGGAGGGATGATAATAGCGTTGCTATTAACGGAAATGGGTTGCCTGGCCTTGGTTTGGTTCGGGTCGGGTCGAGCATGAGAGAAGAACTGGTATGGACCCTGGGTTTCGTTGGTGTGTTTACAATGCTGTTACTTTCGGGTTTCGGTCATCAGTGGGTCCGATTGTATGGCCCATTAAAGGACTTGCCTGAGAAGAGATCCGGGTCCATGTCGGGTATTGAATTGTCGTGTTTCAAGGAAAGAAAGATGGATATGGTGTTTTGTGGTGTACGGGAATTATGGTACACCTTACACGTTAAGGCGTGTGATGGTTAGTACTGGCTTGTAATTGAATAAAAAAGAGCGGCAACGATAAAGGAATAATTGAGAGGTTATTACGCCTGATTGAAACGAGGATCATTTCCTTTCTTTGCTTTGGAGTTTTTTTTTTTTTTTAATTTTAATGGGAATAGTTGCAATCAGGTTTAGGTCTTTGTTCTTGTTTTCTTTTGGTTGGAGCTTTAGCCATTTTGAGCTGTGCGAAGATTGTTTGCCGTGGAGAAACCTCCTTTTGGATGACTTCTTTTTAATAGATTTTATCCTTTTTTTACCCTATCAATTTGTTGTTTTAATATTCTATGATTCATGTATTCCAAGAGAGGATTTGTTATTAAAAATCAGCTATTTAATACGATCACTCAAATAAAATAATTTGTATGGTCTATGTGGTATTCTTAATGAACATAACAAGGTGGTTGCGAGGGAGTTCAACTGTTCTTCTAGCCATTTTTTGTTCAGGAGAAGAGAGAGTTTTGAAAGAGTAGCATACCACAAGAATCCAATTATGGAATAGTTAATTGTGGTCATGAGAAAGATTTCATTGTAATAACAATGATAAAGAAAGTCAAGATAGTATTTGCCGATAACGGTGGTCAGGTTACACACATTTAAATTAAATCTAAATATACAAGGTAATTAAAATATGATATTAATAAGAAAAATAATTAAAATAGCAAAAATAACATTTTTTATCTCTAATTCGAAGGTTTTTCAAAACTCTTTTAGTTATGGTGAGTTAGCTCCTTTATGAAATTTGATCTTTAGAATCATCTAATAAAATTTAAATATAATTTAATAATTAAATTTAAAATTATAAATATTTTTATCAAGTTGAATATTTGACACTTTCAGATTTATTCATGGACTTGGCTTTATCTATTTAGTTTAAAAATATATTTATAATCCATAAATTTGAAGAAATGGATTTGACTATTGAGAATAGTCTAACCCATCAGATTTTATTTTTCCAATAAAATAATCCACTAATTATATTTTTTTTTCAAAACATTTTAGAGTTGTGTTAATTTTCTAATTCTTTTTTAGAAACATGCTCTTATGAATAATGACTTACTGCATTAGAGATTTGATTTTTTCTTTATCATATCTCTAAAATTATATGTGTAAACCAAATAATTTGCTAGTTGGGATTAAAAAAATTAGCTAAGTTTGTTTCTATTTTTTTTTTAATTCACCAATGGTTAACTCATTAGATTGGAGAGAAAAATGGTTTGGATTTGGAGAGAAAAAAATTGATTTGAGAGAAGATTGTATAAGGCTAAAGATTTTATATTGATTGTATTAAATGATCCATTGTTTTTTTTTTTTTTATCAAAATGACATTATTTTGTTAGGCTTAATCTCAATTTACTCCCTTAACATATTTTTCTTTTTAATTTTGGTCTTTATTTTGCTAATTTTTCACTTTAGTCTAAATTGGTTCCAATTTAAAACTTGTTTCTTTCAATTGAACTCTTAACTAACTTACTTAAAACCCTATAATTTGGTGCCTTTTCACTTTAGTTTTTAGGTTTTTGGTTTGTGTAATTTTCAATCAGATTAGCTTTTAATTTTAATTTTTTTTAACTAAATCCCTGATTAATTTTCTAATTTGACAATGTATTTCAAATTCATCCATGGTTCTTTGATTTTTCTAATTTCTTTTAGATTTATTGAAAAGATATTTTTTTTTATTTTTGAAAAAAAAAATAAGGGTAAAAAATCAGGTTATGATAATAGAGACAATAAGATTTTCATTGGAGTCATGAAGATTTTCTGTTTGAGGCATGAATATTTTTTTTTTATTAAGACTTTAGTTAGAGACATAAAGATTTTTCATTAGAGATTATAGAGAACAACTACTGCTTTTATTAAAAGATTTATAATATTTTTCATACAAGTGGAGATGCAATTCCTAAAAATCATTTAATTTCAGGTATCTCATCAAGTGTGCAAATTCCCTTCCTTTATTTATATGATTTTTCTTCTATTTTCACAAATTATTGGAGATAACCCATGACAATCAATCTTTCTATCTTTTTTTTTTTTTAGTGTGGCATTCCTCAATGTCATGTTTATGGTAACGAGGAAAATGAAAGAATTTATTATAGTTCCTCGTGTTCGCACTACTTTTCATGGAAGAAAGATATTGCATATTTTTTCTCTTTAATAGTAGTTAGCACCTTAGAGCATCTTCAATGCAAAATGCTATTTTGAAAAGCTAAATTAATAAAATAACATTTTGAATAGTATAAATATGGTTTTTTTTACTATCTTTACTCCAATGGAAAAAAGCCATTTGAAGAGCCATTTATATTGGAGTAGAAGAAACAAGTGTTTTATTATTTCTTAATAAGTTTGATGTTTTTTTTTCCACATGGCTACATTTAATTGGTTTATTTTTTTAGTGACCCCACTTTATTGATTTTGACTCTTTTAAGAGATATGTAGGAATAACATTTATAAAAGAGAAAAGATATTTTAGTATTTTGTTTAGCACTTCCTTTGAAGTGTGCAAAATAAACATAAAAAAACTAAAATAACATTTTTTTAATATTTAGCTTTTCATTTAGCACATCCATTGGAGATGCTCTTAGTATGTATAATGGCTAGAGTTTTGTTCAAGAGAATTATAAATTGTTAGATGATAAAAAATATGCCCTTTGATGCTTTTATTTGATGTCCTTGTATGAGAATGATGGTGTTAAAGAGATTATGTTCCATACAGCTAAAAATGAGGATGTCCTGATTTCATTACACTTGCTTCTTTTACATTGATATAGTTTCTCATTACATGTTTGATATATAAAAGAGTTCTGTAAGGAGAATATATAACTTTTCTTATAATGAATAGTTATAGACTTAATTAATTAGAGCTTCTGTAGCAATAAGTTCAAGTAGTCTTTTTACAATTAGAATTTTCTCATTGAACCTTTGAATATATACTCTAAAGCTCTTATTTTTTTTTTAAGTGTGATAGCGAAAAGCTAAGTGTTACTCTTTTTAATTGAGATACTTGTACTAAATCACGAAATAATTTTGGCACTTAGATCATAAAAGTTGATGATAAAGCTAAGCTTTATGCTATGCTATCATGAACAAGTAGATCCATGAAGTGTTGTTGAAACAACTTTGCACATAACATCATTATATTGTGTGACAAGCTCTAAAATATTTCTCATATTTTGTATGTGTTCTTTAGGTTCAGCGGATCCATCATAATTTTCTAAGTTAGCCTTTATAGAGACACAATATTGAAGAGACAAGTGTGCAATATTATATCACAAAGTAGAAATTCTTCAACTTGATGGGGGTTGTGATTGTTTTTAGTAACATATAAAGTTATTGATCTAGTCTCTTGTCTAGGTATTTTTCTAGAAATGATGTTTTGGATGGAGATAAATGAATCTTTATTTAAAACATCTAGTATAGAAATGTTTTCCATGATAGTTGCATTTCTTTCTCAGTTTAGGTGTGTAAGTGTCTTTGTGCTGACTTGTTTGCATGTCATCCTACCTTGTATTCTGAGAGAAATAGAGTTGTTCCTGTGCATTTAACAATGCAAGCATGTGAGCTTATTTTTTATAGGAGAAAGAGTATGAAGATGCTGTTAGATAGTTATGATATTATCATTAACTATATGCACTTGATGGAAGAGTTGTTGGAGATCTTGGGAGATGGTGTACCTATTATGTGAAGGTTGACTATTCTCTCATCACTTGGAGTTTCATCTATTATGAAAAGAATTTGGATGAGAGTGAAAGAGAATGAACTATATTTTGTTTATTTTTTATATATATAACACCACTGATAAAGTCATGGAAAAACCTTGGATATGAATTAAGCTTTTCAAGACTACAGTTTTAGGTTGGTTTGAAAGCTTTCTTATAAAACAAGTTTTCTATGAATGTAAGGGATACTTTGATGCTTAAATTAGTAAGATATAGAAGAAGAAAATAATATATAGTATATAGAAAAATAATAGAGAGAAATTATATGTTCTAGGAATTGTAGAGTGATTAATTATGGTTATAAAAGTTGTTGATTGATTATTGATAGTTTATTGAATTGTTGAATGGTTGATGATAGTTCAAGGAATTATTGGGTGGTTGACGATGGTTTCTAAAATTGTTAGGAGGTTAATGGTTATATATGACCACAACTTTTAATGCATGTGTATAAAGTCCAATACCTGGGACTTTTGGATAGAGCTTGCGTTTCTATCTTACTTGGTGACTAAGTATATTTATACGCTTAATCTTTAAGCTTATTTTTTGAACAAGAAAAATATTTTCATAAAAAATTTAGTCATTGGGTATAGTGTTATTTGTTGAGATATTGGTAGCAAGTTATTGTTTGTTATGTTGTGATCATTTATGAAAATATACCAAGAAATAACATTGGTGTAGAAAACTTGTGCTCATATAAAAATATTGTGAATTTAAAAAATATGTGCTTATGAAAAGTTTGTGTTCCATAGTCATAGAGATTAAAAAAATTCATGAAGGT